TGTGGGCATGGATTCTTCCATGTTGTGGCTCATGATATTTTTGTCTAATTATGAACAGCATGTTTATATAACATATATTTAAGTTACCATTAATTTGTCTCAATTGCTGTTCAAGTATCTGTGTAAAATACATATTCTACATAAAAGATTTAGACACAACTGAAAACTAAGCTACATTAACATACACAGTAAACATATTATATAGAAAATATTGATTATATATATTGTGTATACTATTAATTAAACTATGCATATCTTTTTCTGTACATACATACCAGTGGCGGCAACATCTTTTCCCCAACAGATGGCCCAGTGTTCTCCCACAAATGGGCTGCACCCACCTCAGCCCAATGATGGTTGGAGCTCAGGGTAAAACATTTTAGGTTTGTCACCTCTGATGCCCGAAAATGGCATTCTCGATCGGACCAGCTTTCTCTGGTTTAGAAAATTATTATAATTGATCGCTGACAGATTTTACTGCAACTACGTACGTACCTGATGGCTGGGCCAGGCCCTGCCCAAGCTAGCCCAAACGCTGGCGCTACCCCTGATACAACAGAAGTGCCAGCAAGTCCTGGTTGGTGCAAATTTTTTTCACTCTTTTAGATGTCTACTTATGACTTGCAATTCATATAATTAAAGCAGTGTCACAAGCATTTTAGGGTTTGTCTCTTTACTTATATTTCAATACTTTTTATACAGCTAGAAAATATTTTCAAAAGACATTTTAAACCGAACTACAGTAATATTTAAGTATTGATATTTGTATTGATTTTTCAAACCTACTGTACATAAAAGCTTCTTTAATATCACAACTAGTAACTACAAGTTGGTTTGACAGCGATTTTTATTTAGAAACTTGTCTATGAGCCATTTGGGAATTCCCATTATATATTAAATGTGTGCTATATTTCCAGTGAATGAACGTCATTTAGTTTCAAGTAAGTTTGCTTTTTAAGTATTTCAAGTTATATAATTATACAGGATATATATTTGATGTTCAGTTAATCATGTTACGCAGTTCTATTTATCACTAATATTGTAATTCTAACATAATGGAGTAAATGTGCTCTTCAAGGTCAGGCCAATAATGTCCGCAAAAAACTAACCTGCTACGTTGATATGTTTACAGCCATCACCAACATCTAGGTTGTCTTATTCAGAGTTCATTTTAGAACAACCCCAGGCTTATACACTATGGTTTACTGCAATAGACAATTCCATAAAATAGGGGATATATTCATTCTATACAGTAATTTTTTCAAGCTTGTTCAAAGCTTAATAGTCCCTAGGAAAAATCACATTAAAATGGTTTAGGATGCTATATAGAACAGTATGTCAGGCCTTGCCCATAAAACTAGCCTACTGTACATGTATGTGTGTGCAATGGTACATTTCTAGCTAGGTAGTGCAATTATATAAGCACAATTTATTTTGCTAGAAATAAATTTTGAACTATTTATTATTTCAATTTATGCTTCTCCTTTAATTGTGGGATAAAAACTAAATCTTGATGGTTAAGTAGTTTATGGTGCCAATTGCTTTGAACTTCAAACTGTTGACACAAAATTGGATCAACATTTCATCTTGTATTTTACAGAAAAGCATTGGAAAACGCGAAAATTCAACCTATCTAGGATAGCAACAGTTACACCATCATTCCTACCAATCAATATTTGAATCAATTAGGTAAGAAATTGATACAAAACTCAGAACACCTATAGCAATCACTAGTAAGCTTGAGCCACACTATCAAGGGACAAATTAGTGTGAATTACCCATATATGGGCATGAAAGTCATATCACACCCATATTTGGGCATAATGATATTACTCTGTTGCTAGCTAGGCCAATAAGTACTGTACACCGTGACCGATACCAAGTTTCATCCAAATATACTGATTATCAATCAACAGTACAAGTACTGGAATAAAAAAAATTCAATAAAAATTAAAATGAAATGGATGTTGCAATATAAATATTAAGCAGTGGCTGATTGTCAATGCAAACAAGGTATAAAGTGCATAACCTGGCTATAAAACAAATTTTAAAAAGTATATAGTATTACAGTTTCTCCGTTTTATTTAGCATTTCTTAGTCACAATCTTCTATATAAACCTTCATTTTTTGAGTGGATTGCTACAGTTCATTGGAATAGCAAAGAATACTTTGGTATCTAGAATAAGTCACAGTTGGTCCGAGCGCATCGTACTCTCAGCTGCTTAGAATTTCTGCATGGCTGATTTTCAATATCAGCCAATCATGTATTCAGTGAGTCAATGGGTGTCAGAGCATACCCTACAACGCTTAATTTACTATTCCGGCAACCGACGTGTGGTGGCGTCGGAATAGCCAATTTAACACTAGAATTTTATAGCGGTGCTTCCAAGAGTATGTGTGCATGCTCTTTTTCCCAAAAATAGGGACCTATTATTTGAATTGAAATTTTTAAAAATACAGGAATAGGAATTCATTTTAAGGGAAGATACTATAACCATGCTGGTATTAAAAATAACATACATTTGTATTTTGACTATAGAACACAATCTGATTCTGTACAGAAGGCTTACAACTTTTCAAACTAGCAGACCCTTGCATCAGTGGCATAGGGGTCTTGAATGGAAGGGAGCTGATGGGGGTGGGAAGGTGGGGGATTGGTGATTAGGTGAGGGGGCTAACTCGCAAAATAAGCTGATTTGAGGTGATTTTAACTATTTGAGAATCTGTGGGCGGGGCGCGACTGGGGGATGGACAAGTGTTATTTTTTCAGGGGGGGGGGGCACCCCTTGCACATCCTAGATTTGCCACTACTTAGCATACCCTGCAATTTACCCTATGGTCCGCCACTGAAATTAAGCAAGGTTGAAGTAATGTTATGGTCAAACCAGCTCATCAACCAGTCAACACCTTGGATTGCGTAAAATCCTTGGAACAATATCCACAGCAAAATAACAATTTCAGAAAATGTTAATATTGTATTTTGGATTAATTTATTGAATCTAACACATTGGACTCATAGTTTGACTAAATTGTGAAAGTCTATTAATCATCACATTAAATTAATTCATAAGAAGGCTCCTAAATATGAGGTGACCTCTAGGGTAAGCTAGAAGGGGCACCTCCTATAAATATAGTTTTAAAAAAAAACAACATAAAAATATATACAGCAATTTGAACTCGGAAAATATTTAAGCACATATTATTTATTTAAAAAAAAATTCCAATATACTGTACCATGGTATCTATATTGTCTCTACAGATGTCTGTATCCAAAGCATTACAGTTTATGGATAAAAAAGATCTTGAGTGTGCCATCTGCCTCAACAGGTTTCACCAACCAAAGACACTGAAATGCACGCACACCTACTGTCTACAGTGTATCCAGAAATGGGTGGAAACTCATGAGGAGATGAAATGTCCAACTTGTAAGCAAGAACATGATCTAACGAAAGAAGACCTAAATAAGCTGGCTTCCAATACAAAGATAAGTCAACTACTAGAGTATGTCATGAAAACAGAGGATCAAAAACCAACTAAATGCTCTTGCTGTGACAACCAACCAGCATACCATTGCTTAACATGTCAACTGTTTCTATGTGGAAGTCAATGTGTCAAACAACACAAGATGATACCTTCAACTAAGGATCATCCACTTTACACACTAGACATAAAGGAACCAGATGGCCAACCAACCAATTGCCAAGTTCACTGCAACACCCCACTGGAATTTTACTGCTCCAATTGCAACAAATCAGCATGCAAGCGATGTGAACACATCCTTCGTTGTTATCAAAAACAACATGAAGTGATTCCAATGTCAACTGCCATAGAAGAATTTAACAAAAATGCCACTGAACTTGTCAAATTAGCACAGGAAATCGAAAATAAATTAACAGAAAAACTAGAATTCATAGATAAAAATAAGTCATTATCTAAATCACAACTAAAGTTAAGTAGAACAGCCATTGAAATTCAAGAAAATAAACTTATTAAGAAAGTTAAAGAAAAAAGCAAGGAATTAACTTTGAAATTGGAAAAAATACACAAAGAAGAAGAAGATGCTATTGATAGTAAATTTAAAGATATTGATTCAAAGAGAACTCAATTGAATAATCTAATGGCCAAAGTCAATAAAATGATGAACAAACCAGAAGAAAGAGAAGCACTTGGATCCCATACGACAACTATCAACACAGTCAGAGACAAGGTCCTAGCAACTGACTTTGATAAATCATTTGATAAAATAAATATGACACCAAAATTCATTCCATGTACCCACTTGGATGAGTTGATGAATACAGAGGGCATCGGTAAAATAATAACTGCTGATATGACGTATGAGGTTGCTGATGATGATAAAGAAATTACCGTTCCAAAAGGACAACCATTTGTAGTGAAAGTATCAAGTCTATCAGAGAGTGATGCATGCCAATTAGCTGCAACATTAATAAACTCATCAGGTGAAGAATCACCAACTGACGTAGAATATGATGGAAATGGACAGTACACAATAACAGGTAGATGCAATGTGGAAGGTGATTGGCAAATGAAGATAACTGCTAGAGATGAGCACATCAAAGGATCTCCAGTGAATATCAAGGTGGAAAAACTGGGACTTGTTCATACCATTGATAACATATCTGATTATAAAGAACATAACAAGGAATTTAAAGTGACAGATTTAGTGTTAAATAGAGATGGATGCATATTAGTATCAAGCCGTAGCAAATATATATTGAAGTTCAACCAATTAGGTTCATTTGTTGCTAGGATACAGGTGCCACAAATTGTGGCGATCAATAGAATGCATCTAATGAGTGATGGTCACATGATATATAGTGATGCCATAGCAAAATGTGTAGTATTGTGTGATGAAAATTTCCAAGAAGTCCGTTCATTTGGTAAAGGCATGTTCAAATTTCCATTTGGCTTGACATTAAACAAGGAAACTAGAGCTTTGTATGTAGCAGACAATAATGCTCACTGTGTGTATAAATTCAATGTTGACGATGGCAGGCTACTGGGTGAGATAGGTTCAGAAGGTAGTGAAGTAGGTCAAATGATGTATCCACAAGATGTCATCTTAACTAAGGAAGGTCATGTGGTTGTTGCTGACTTCGGAAATGAGAGAATACAAATGTTTGATGCAAATGATAAGTTTATGAGAATAATTGTAGGCACTGGTAAGAAAGATGGTAAAGTTTGGGGTCCTCATGGTGTAACCATGGATATGGATGAAAATATAATAGTATCAAGTAATCATAAACTACAATTATTTGATAAAAATGGTGTATTCCTAGCACGAATAGATCATAAAGATGATGAATTAGATAGTCCACTAGGAATCACTGTAATCTCCAACAGACCAAGAAGAGTAGCAGTAGCCAATCACAGACCAAATAATGTAAAAATATTCAATTATTAAAATGACACATTGAAAAGCTCATTAACTGGCTCCAATATTAGATAATGTAAAATAATACTTGTCATATCTTCAGTTTTTTAATACATCAATAAATATTTTTGACAAATATATTCAATCAGATTCAAATAAAATGAATGAATGAGAATAACTATTACACTATTAATGTTTATACATCACTCAATTAATTATTTTATTCCATCAGATGGTAATTTTATTGTCATGTACAAAAAAAATAATTGAAACTCTACAATAATTTTTATTTCTGTATTTATATGGCTGTAATAAATATTATAATATATTGAATAAATAAATGAAATGAATGAATGAATGAGCGAGTGAATAAAAAGTTGCATGTGAGTTGACATGTCTCTGAATGAGCATAATCTAGATAGTTTTAATAGGAACAAACATAAAATTAGAATAATTATTATAAATCTTTGTATTGAATTGCATTTTAAGTAATGATGTTGAGCACTGATACCCAATGAGAACTGTTCAAATGAACTTTATTTGGTAATTCATTCCCAATTAATTATAAAAATTCTTATGTATATTGCATTGTGTTGTGTTTTATATGTTGTAAGCTATACTCTTCAGTAAAATTGAAAAAATGTACTGTATTTTACTAAGTTTATTATCTTATTTACATATTTTTATGTCCTGGGTAAAAAAAAAGTTTAAAAAAAATGTAAATTGAAATTGAATTATTCAATTATGTAACTCTAAGCATCTGCTACAACTCTGTTACATCTCACCTGGAAAGAAGTCAACCATTTGTTTAAATGTTTCATGTCTTCTCTTCATTTGTTGTTCCTCTGTTAGTGGTGGATCATCATCAAAGAATAAAGCATCTTTGGGTAAAAAAAATATTGTAATTCATAATTCTTTGTGTCACATCATTAATAATAATAGTAATAACAATAATAATAATAACAATAATAATAATAATAATAATAATAATAATAATAATGTTACACTTGTATAACACATAATGAATGTAAAAGCTTCTATGCGCTTCACATTTATGAAATTAAATTAAATTACTAAAAATAGTCAACCTATTGCTTCACTAAAGGCAATCTATTTTACAAACCAGAATAGGCCTAATAAAAAATGTTGAGTTTGAATAAAATTTTATCTCACTGGGCAATCAAAGCCAGATTAAAATAAATAGGGCCTACGTGAGTAATATATTTCCTTCCCGTAAATGCGATGCTTTGCAGTAAGATAGCTAAGTGCAGGCTATGCTTTGCAGTACGAAAGTTAAATGCAGGCTTATTTTTGCCAGATTTGGAAAACAAAAGTGGAGTGAAATTTAATAGAGCATTTTAGAAGGTCATACAAGTTACAAGAGCATGTCTGAAATGACTTTATTCAAGTAGAGGCCCGTATCCAGGGGGGGTTATGGTTCGGAAGAACCCCCTTTTCTACCAAAACCCCCTCTTTTCTGGGGAACCCCCTCTTCAAATTTCCCAATAATTCCTCAGATACTCCTCTTCATAATTTCACCATTTCAATTGCTTTAGTTTCGCTGTATCAGGGATCGTACTTGTCCCCCAGCACCATGGCAGGTTAAAACTTGTGATGGATGATTGTTTAGGCAATAGGCTAGCTTGTTCAGTAAATGAAAAAATGAAACTTACCGTCAAGTTCAGAATTTATTCCAACAAATGGTATTACAACATTATGTGTTTATATATCTACTGACCTTTTAAATGTTTATTAAGTAGTAAAACAAACTTCTTAAACTGCACAACAACAGGAATACAGCTACTACATACGTACAGTACAGTCAACAGCAGCCGCATTCAATATTCGCAGACAAATATTATAGAGGGCGGCAAACCGATATGTTCTAATATCAGCAAATCAGTTCAATTAAAATAGAGGGCGGTAGACTGATATTTATCGATATCAGGGCTTAAATTTTGCTATTGTATGGTCTTTTTTGAAAGGCGTTAAACGTCTAAAATGCATTTGTATCCTGAAATTTAAACAAAATCATACTACAGCAGTCCTGATTAACTTATTTCAATAAATAAACTTAAAATTGAATAAATAAATAAAACCAAAAAGTGGAAAACGGTACTATGAATAAAAGTTTTGAAAATAATGCGTGACATTAGGCCTAATTGTTAAAATGTGATTGCTGCCCTCTGTAATTACAGACTTTTTAAACTTTATTGATGATATTGGAGCCATCAAAAAGAATGTAGCTAATGGCTAGTTTTAGCCCGGGCCCATTTGTGGCACAACAAACGGCCTAACATCTTTAATTTAAGCAAAATTATAATAATATGACACTCACAATTTGACTTTGATCATAATCAATTAGAAACCAATTGGAAACATTTCTAATTATATTTTTAATTTAATTTTTAATTTTAATAATAATAATAATAATAATAATAATAATAATAATAATAATAGTAACAATAATAATATGGTCCTTGAATTATATATGCACAAGCAAAATAATATCACAAGGTATTATAGAGAACGGCTGTACTTCCAAATTCCAGTTAAGTATATTCTGTGTACTGTATTTATTTATCTTTTTTAATTCTTTCTTTATCTTACATTTAATTTATATATTTTTATATTTAATTTGCATATTAATTAATTAATATTTTTATTTAATTAATCCCTCAGTTCAACATTCGCTGAAATTAATTATTTTTAGAAATTGCAATTTTGTATTAAGTCAAAAAAATTAATTAAGACAAAAATTAATTTTTAGCATTGTATATATTTGACATGGAAAAAATTTAACGAGCTTTCACACTGGCCAGGACTCGCATCCTCCGCCACCACCAGTTAAGCGGCCAGACCTAT